ATACCAATTGTTGCAATGTGGAAGCGGAATTATCTAGAAATTAAAAATTTTTCTTTAATTCAATAAATAAGATCGTCTAGACGTGTATATTATATCAAGAATTAGATATTCGAATTTTTAACTAAATTCGATAATAACTAAAGACTACACCGGTGGGTTGACACCTTCTTTTAATTAAATCAAGAAACTAATTTTTGGACTGGATAATTAAAAAATATGATTTTTCTCACTTTTTCCCCCTCTCCAAATTTGAACACTATGAAATTATATATTGCGATTGTTGTAGCTGTTTTATGTCCATCTAATCTCTATTTATAGAGATAAAAGATGTTCCAATCCATGTAGAATAATAACTCCAATATCAAATAAGAGTTTTAATTAAAATCCAGGAGTTTAAATTGGATTCTAAATTCAATTAGTTTACATTTAATTAGATGTGTAGTCCTTGAACTTCAATTATAGTTATAATTAAGTTTACAGCTTTTATAGTAAGTACAAAACTTTATTATAATTACAATTAAGTCCAAAAATATTATAATTACCGTAATTAAATTCAATTACTTTATAGAGTTATCACATCGACCTAATCGGACATATATTTTCCAAACTCCAATAATTAGATCATGTCTAATCGACCCTAGACTAACAATCTAGTTATTAGTTTTTTGTTTTTTCTATTAAAGGTAAAAGACTAAACTCTTGGAATATATAAAATCACAGAAGCCAATAAATTTGTAATATTTTCCTCTGATATGCCTTATATATATTTTATCCTCGTCTGAGATTCGATAATTAAGTACGACCATAAAAGACCGTTTTGCCCTTCTAATTATTTTCACTAACTTAAGCACCATTTTCTCCCACGGTACTGTGAACAAATCACAGATGTTGAAATTTAGCCATCGCTATACACTAAGATCAGATTTTAACCGTTGAATAGAAAATATTCAAGTAGTCAATCTACTCATTTTTTAGGGTGACGATTCCTGACACGAATTCATATTCTCTACTTCACTCATTCTCAAGTTCTTAACTCATCGAAATATTTGACTAATCAAATTAATCTCACCCATTGATGAATCAAAAAACTATTAAAATCACGAAAAGATATGCATAACTTTGTTACATGATTATTTAGATGAAATATGGTCAAGTGCAATTTAATTCTCCGCATAGTCATACTATTGAATTAAACTCGACACGTGGTTCGTTCAATACACTCCAAATATACTAGTGTCATCTTTAACTATTTTTGTAATAAGGACAAATCACATACCCGAATAGTGAATCGGACAACACTATAACCTTTCGGTACAAGGTATCAACCCTTATACATAGATAGTGAACAAATTATTTATTATCAAAATATAAGTTGTATCGTACTGTACTTCTCAACGCAAGTATCCAACTTATATTATCACAAGTGATCATAGGCACTTTAATTCGCATGGTCAATAATTAAATAAATACAATAAATGAAATTTTTTTTATTTAATATAAGAATATTTTTATTTTTATATCAGCAAAATTATACTATATGAGCACACAATCCAACAAATCTTACCATTTGGAGTCAACTGAATATATCAAAATTCAGATTACAATTAGGCCCTGTTTGATTCATCCTATTTTTCATGGAACTTTCCAAGTTCCAACTTTTGTCTTGTATAATAGCCAAAATTTTCTTGGCAAAATATTTT